AAACGGTTGGCTTCGCGCCATACGCAATCCCCCTCAGAGCCATCCCAGCGAGCAAGACTGGGACAACTTCTTTACGAATTTTTAGCTATTCGACATCGTTGCCAGCGAGGAAACACTTCGTAATGTGATCAGTTCGGTGACGAGGAACTGGCAGTCGATCATTCTCACCGGTTTGCTGGCGCTCATTCTTGTCTACATTTTTTCGATTATCGGCTACACATTCTTCCAAAGAGGTGCGATTTTACTGGAAATGGCTAAGTTTACAGCTTCGTTAGTGATCTTGTTATTCTTCAGATTTCTCCCTTGAAGTAGATCCACTCGAAGATGAACCAACGGCCACTGTCTTCACCAGAGATCCTAGTCCAGAGACCTGTTCAGCTGACGGTGGTTGCCCATTACCGGTACCTGTAGTGGAACAGAAGCCGGATAACAAAGACGACGGTAAGAATATTGTACTGTTTCTAGGAAAATAAAGCGTATCGATTGAATTTATAGATGACAAGAAGATTCCGTCGTGTACTACACTGCGAATGTGCATCATTACGACGCTGAATTGGGGACTGCGTAATGGTGGTGGTATTGGTGATGTGTTAAGGAATATCGGTCCTGATGTGAGTTAGACTTTGTAATGTCGTGAAAAATAACTATGGCAGATATTGAAGTTTAAAATATTTTCATAGCGGGTTCCTGTGCCTTGCGAGAAAATGTATTGATTCAGTCTGTTCGAAAATTGCACAACTGAAGGGTAACAATAGGCAAAGAGTCCTCAGTCTTGTACCAGGAAGGCATGAATCTTCCGGTTTTAGTCCATATCACAGCTCCTGAGGAGGGCGTGTCCACGGACACAGTTATGGACAGGGTTGCATCTGCGTGTCTGTGGGGTGTTGCCGGTTTGGAACGGACATGCTGAAGTAGGCTACCAGTGTGCGCAGTCTTTTGACCGGCATCGTCTCTGCCTTAAATTAGCAACGCTCCACAAATAGGCAAATGGCGCCGCTCTCACGATTAAGTCCGTAAATACACCCTTTACAGTAGCTGTGGTACAGAGGGAAAGGGGGGGGGTACTGTTCTTTCATGCCGGAACGTCCTCTTTCATAACAAATTGGCAACTCTTTATGGAAGCCTGACCTCAGCAAAACTTTGACCTTGAAGGTGAGGGGATACCTAGGTGATTGGAGGTGCTTGTAACACAGCTCGCT